ATGGGTTGTCTGCGGCACCCCCGCGCCCACCCGCCCCTGAGCTGCTCTGTGGCTGTTGCTGTTTGTGTGGGCGGAGGTGATGGAGTGGCTTTTTGCAAAAGCCCTTCCTGCCTTTCACCCTCTGGGCTACTGGTTGTGACTGGGAGAAAGGGGGTGGTTTTGGTCTTACGGGGGCTTGGTGGTAGACGCTCAGGTGGGGAGGTAATGTAGGCAGGGAGCCGTGTGGGGGAATACATGGACGTGAGCCCTGGGGAGAGCCATATCCAAACTCCGCTTGTGAATGCCATGGACCAGAACAAACCGCTTTCCTGAGAAAGCTGCCCAGCCTGTGCCATTGCCCCGTGTTAGAGAGATGGCAGTAAGGAGCGGTTGGCCTCGAATTTTCCTTAGGAGGAGGAAAGGTTACTTGCACTGGTTCTTTGTAACCCATCTTCCTTCAGCTGGAAGCATTAAAGGAGGGACGGGTGCTGCGGGGAGCTCCCTTCGTCTCTTTGCGGTGGTCTGAAGCTGCGCCACGAGCCCGTCTCCCACCTCCCCGGGGAGGAGGCTGGTGTGCGGGGGGGCCAGCCCCGAGCAGAGGGCTCAGCGCTGTGCTGTCCCGCATCTCCTGCGGAGGAACTGGGAACATCAGTTCCAGACGATGTGGTGCTGGGCTCTGCATGGGCTGGGTAGCCTGATTTCTGACCCGTAGCCGTTGCGGCAGGGTCACTTGGCTCTGTGTGGAGTGGGAAGGCTGGTTTCCCCCAGGCGCGCTGGGGACTGCCGTCTCCAGCCATGCACAGGCGCTGGAGCTGCAGAGGCTACCTGCAAAGCGAAGATGAGAAATTCTGGGGGTGCGTGGGCTGCTGCAGGTATGTGCCCTCCTCACCTCCCGGGGGCATCCCCTGCCTTCCCAGAACCGGCTGCCTGCCGTGGAAAAGGTTATCTGCAGCGGAGAGCTGCGGTTTGCATTTGAATTTTGGGATAGCAGGTCTAGTCTGGCTCTACGTGTGCAGAAAGCACCTACCTCTCCCTGTGACTCGGAGCCGGCCCAGCGCCCAGGGCAGTGCTCGTCGGCTGCTCTAAACCTCCACCGAAACAAGAAGAGTTGTTGCCTTTTGGGAAGAACTGAGTCAGCCTGACCTCAAACAGCTTTTCAAAGAAGCAACCCAGAAACCTCCTGCGTCATGTGCGAGCCTCCATGCAGGGGTGTGCAGAGGCCAGGGGACTGTTTTCACTTCATTTTATAGTGTCTCTGCTCACAGTGAGTTCAGAGGGCAATAATGTGCTGCTGGCCACGGGCTGCCCGCAGCTCAGGCTGGGGAGGGACTTGGTAGCTGTGGTGCAACCCAGCCCGTTCAGGCTCCCGTTGTCGCGGGGCGATGATTCGGGGTGGCGGTGGGAGAGCGAGCAGAGCCGGTGAGCGTGGGGAGGTGTACGTGCTGAGCCCCGCCGTGCACGTGCGGCTGGGGAGCCCTGCAGGGGTGCGGGGCTTGGGGGGAATCTGAGGCGGGGGGAAGGCGCACGGCCGGGCTGCTTCAGCGTCCGGAGAGGGAGGGGGCTGGCTGCGCAGGGGACGGGCTCAGGGGGGGTGCTCAGCTGCGAAAGCGCTGAGGCAGACC